GGAGAGGGAGCCCCTGGCCATCGGCTCCCGGCACCGCCGAGGTCCTCCGACGGCCTGGGCACCGCCCGTGCCTGGAGCTGGGCCTGGCCGGCTAACCACACCCGGACACTGGCCCGGGCTGGGGTGGCGGGGGCCCCCGTGCAGCGCACCAAGAGAAAGCCGTCTATCAAAGCGGCCCGCGCCAAAAAAATTTTCGGTTGGGGAGACTTCTACTTCCGGGTGCACACTCTCAAGTTCTCGCTGCTGGTGACGGGTAAGATAGTTGACCATGTGAACGGTACCTTCAGCGTGTACTTCCGCCACAACTCGTCCAGCCTGGGCAACCTCAGCGTCAGCATCGTGCCGCCCTCCAAGCGTGTCGAGTTTGGGGGCGTCTGGCTGCCGGGGCCCGCTCCCCACCCTCTGCAGTCTACGCTGGCCCTGGAGGGGGTGCTCCCTGGGCTGGGGCCCCCGCTGGGGCTAGCGGCCGCGGGGCCGGGGCTAGGGGGCACCCTCGGGGGCGCGCTGGCGGGTCCGCTTGGGGGCGCGCTGGGAGTGCCCGGGACCAAAGAGTCACGCGCTTTCAACTGCCACGTGGAGTATGAGAAGACGAACCGCGCTCGCAAGCACCGCCCGTGCCTGTACGACCCATCGCAGGTGTGCTTCACCGAGCATACGCAGAGCCAGGCCGCCTGGCTCTGTGCCAAGCCCTTCAAAGTCATCTGCATTTTCGTCTCCTTCCTCAGCTTTGACTACAAACTGGTGCAGAAGGTGTGCCCAGACTATAACTTCCAGAGCGAGCACCCCTACTTTGGATAGCGCGCCCCGCCCTCTCCCGGGCCGTGAGCTTCCCGCGAAATCCCGGACTCCCTAAGTGGGACCTCTCCCCGTACCCCGCAGCTCCTGTGGCCGCGTCCACCCTTTCCACTCTGGGGCGGAGAGAAACAGCCCTCCCGGGGACCATCAGCCTGCGCGGGTCCCCTTTTCCTTACTGGGAGTGCCCACGAGGCTGGGGGTAGCCCCCTTGGCTACAGCCCAAAGTGGAGGAGCAAGAGCGCAGCCCCAGAATAGGCGGGGCTTGGAGGCGGTCCCAGCGTCTCCTGCGTCCACACTGGGTCCTCTTTACGCCCTGGCGCTGGGCTGGATACTCCCCTTGCCCGCAGCTTTAATAACGCCTGGCCTGGCACCCTCATCCCACCCTGACTTTCTTACCCCCAGGTACTTGTCCTCCACCCTGTACCCACGTAAAGACCATAAAGGCCTGTAAACCGTGGCCTATTCCCATCCCCTCTGCTTGCCGTATGCCTGTCCCCCTTTCCCCGAAACCCCAATAATTAGGGTAGCGGAAGCAGAACTCCTGGGCATAGGCGATCGACCCGGCCCCTGCCCTCCGCCCGCCTCCCTCCGGTCCTTGCCATCCTGCTCCACCTTTCCGGCTGCTTCCTCTCGGTGATGTTTTTTTTTTCCTACACCAAAACAGACGGGAAAGGGAACAAAATAAAGTGAAATCCAATACGCGTCTGTGTGAGACCTTTGTAGGGAAGGGGGTGGTGGTGGTGTGGGTTTATGTCTGGCAGAGACCTGGCCAGGGCCTCCTTCCTCGGCGGCTCGTGGGGAAACTGAGGCAAATATTGACGGAGCTAGCACCTTGGAGGTCATCCAAGGCCAGATCAGATACAGATGAGGACGACCCTTGGGGTTGGAGCCCTGCCTGAGGTGGGAATTTTCCTCCCAGAGGTGGGCGAAGTGAAGCTGCCGAAAATAGTATGGGAATTAGACCTGACAGCGGACCACCAGCGGGCTATTTTGGGGGAGGAGGTATAAGGCCTCGAATGGGATGGAGATGTAAGGGACAGCGTAGGCAGAGCGCTGACAACCTGCTAAGCTCCGCGGGGCTGGCGGGAGGCGGCAGGTGGGGCGGGGGGAGGGGAACGGTGTTTTCGGCATCTGGAGTCATCGATCTTCCTTTTCCTTCCTAATTCCGTGGGCGCTGAGTTTGCAGACGGTTGGGGGAGGGAGGGAGAGAGGCAGGGAGGCCTGAGACGAGGGGGTGGGGGAAGGGACGAGAGCGAGTTTGGAGAGCCCAGCAGCGTCGCTGCTGCTTGCCGTCTGCAAACGCAAACAAGGGCCCCTTCAGCCAGCTGCCCACCCTCCCCACCCACCCCGCCTCCAGCTCACTCCTGTAGACACAGCTGCTAATTTTATCCTCCCCCAGCCCTGGCCCGGGCGTTAATTGGCTGCGGCTTCATTAGCAGTTCTCAAGCTCAGCCCCACCACTCCCCGCCTCCCCTCGGGACCCCTGACTGGGGCGAGGGAGGAGGTACAGACTAGCTGAGGCACAGAACGACACCTCGTCTTCAGCCTTCCTTCGCCTTGAGTCCTGGGTCAAGGTAAAACTGGAAGAGAGCAGTGTTCTCCAGAGGATTGCCACTGGCTCCAGCGGGAAACTGAGTCGGAGGTGAGTCTCACCCAGACACACCTGGGAGGGAAAAGTCAGTATGGGGAAAATAAATAGGTGATGGATGGATGGATAACAGGATCAACTGAAAGGAAGAGGAAGGTGGGAAGTGGTTCTGGGTCAGAGATTATAAGAAGGAGAGGAACCCAGCAGACTCCCAACACCAAGCTTATTACTGGAAAAAGCTGAAAGCACCTGAGGCTAGAGTGGGAGGGAAGGAGGTTAGAGCTAACTAAGGGGGACTTCTGAGGCCTGATATGAGAACCAAGTGGGAATGACAGGAATTAGCAAGTTAGCCCATCTGGGCCTCAGTTTCCTCCCTTGTAAAGCAATAATAAAATAGCGTGTTCTCCATACACAAAAATAAGCTCAAAATGGATTAAAGACCTAAATGTAAGGCCAGAAACTATCAAACTCTTAGAGGAAAACATAGGCAGAACACTCTATGACATAAATCACAGCAAGATTCTTTCTGACCCACCTCCTAGAGTAATGGAAATAAAAACAAGAGTAAACAAATGGGACCTAATGAAACTTAAAAGCTTTTGCGCAGCAAAGGAAACCATAAAGAAGACCAAAAGACAACCCTCAGAATGGGAGAAAATATTTGCAAATGAAGCAACTGACAAAGGATTGATCTCCAAAATTTATAAGCAGCTCATGCAGCTTAATAACAAAAAAACAAACAACCCAATCCAAAAATGGGCAGAAGACCTAAATAGACATTTCTCCAAAGAAGATATACAGAGTGCCAACAAACACATGAGAGAATGCTCAACATCACTAATCATGAGAGAAATGCAAATCAAAACTACAATGAGATATCATCTCACACCAGTCAGAATGGCCATCATCAAAAAATCTAGAAACAATAAATGCTGGAGAGGGTGTGGAGAAAAGGGAACCCTCTTTCACTGTTGGTGGGAATGTAAATTGATACAGCCACTGTGGAGAACAGTATGGAGGTTCCTTAAAAAGCTACAAATAGAACTACCATATGACCCAGCAATCCCACTACTGGGCATATACCCTGAGAAAACCATAATTCAAAAAGAGTCATGTACCAAAATGTTCATTGCAGCTCTATTTACAATAGCCCAGAGATGGAAACAACCTAAGTGTCCATCATCGGATGAATGGATAAAGAAGATGTGGCACATATATACAATGGAATATTACTCAGCCATAAAAAGAGACGAAATTGAGCTATTTGTAATGAGGTGGATAGACCTAGAGTCTGTCATACAGAGTGAAGTAAGTCAGAAAGAGAGAGACAAATACCGTATGCTAACACATATATATGGAATTTAAAAAAAAAATGTCATGAAAAACCTAGGGGTGAAACAGGAATAAAGACACAGACTTACTAGAGAATGGACTTGAGGCTATGGGGAGGGGGAAGTGTAAACGGTGACAAAGCGATAAAGAGGCATGGACATATATACACTACCATATGTAAGGTAGATAGCTAGTGGGAAGCAGCCGCATAGCACAGGGAGATCAGCTCGGTGCTTTGTGACCGCCTGGAGAGGTGGGATAGGGAGGGTGGGAGGGAGACGCAAGTGGGAAGAGATATGGGAATATATGTATATATATAACTGATTCATTTTGTTGTGAAGCTGAAACTAACATACCATTGTAAAGCAATTATACTCCAATAAAGATGTTAAAAAAATAAAAAAAAAAAAGCATAAAAAAAAAAATAGCGTGTTCTGGAGATTAAATGAGACTTTGCAAGTGAATAGGCTTTGTGACGGATTGTCCTCCCCCTCTTTGACTCACAAACCTATCTCCTCCAATCACCATCCTCTCTTCCTCTCCTTGCTCTTAGGACATCTGGACATCTGGGAGCAGAGTAAGGTGCCTCTGCCTGTAATTGCATTTGTTGTTCACCTCTTGATGGACCAGCAGTCAGTGACCTATTCTGATATTTCCACAGCTATGGCATGCCTAGCATGGTGAAGGGGCGCAATGTGTCTGCTGAATGAATGAATGAATTGTAATGTTGTAAGGCAGTGGTTCTCAAATTCACTGCTTATTAGAATCACTAAGGAGAGGTTTTGTTGTGTTTCAGCGTGAGTGGGCAAATGCCCATTCCTTAAGATCCATTGAATTAGAACCTCTGAGGAAAGGCTCCCCACTCATATATTTATATCACATTTCCCAGCCAATTCTGATGTCCAGGTTTGGGAACCTACTCCTGGAGGGATCGATGAGTCCCTCCCCTAAAGGATGAGTCCAGATGAAGTCAGGCTACAAGGAAGATCCCTTCCAGCTCCAAGGATCTAGGATACAAAGAGAGCTCCGTGATTGCTGGAGCAGCAAGAATGAATTGGTAACAAAATTCAACAAGTGCAAGGAAAGGGGGAGCACCTCAGTCAGCTCCCGGATGTCCCAGGGAAAGAGGAGATGGTCACGGAGGAGGCAGGTTTGTGAGGATGAGGGGGGGATGATCCATCCAAGAGCATGTTTACATACAGCCTCATATAATTCCCACATGTTATTTTATTATTGATTTATAAGTGAGGAAAATGCAGCTCAAATAGGCTAATTTGCTAGTTAGTCCCAGAGCTGGAACTTGAACTTGGGTCTCTCACTCTTCCAAACCAGGGTGCTTTCCAGTGCAGCAGGGCTCTTCAGCTTGTATAGGAGTCGTTGTATTTCCCAGAGAGCCTAATAACGCTAGGTTCACTCAGGAGACACCCAATAAATTGTTGCTGTCTGGACAACAGACAGGAAAAAAAAAAAAGAAAGAAAGAAAACCTTGAAGAGCTTCAGGACAACGAGGAGATGGGGCGGCACTGGATCTCTTTTCTTTCAGGCAAAAGCTTCTGACCCTGGGGCCACAGACGGGAAACGAAAGTGAAGAAGAGGGGGAAAAAAAACTACAATTCCCAAAAGACCATAAAGCGTCCACCTTACGCATGCGTAGACCCCGCCCTAATTCTGTGGCTTCCCAGCAGCTCTTTTCGCGCATGCGCTCTCCGATCAGTCTTCTTCCAGCCCCTCGTTTTCCCCGGCCGGAGTTGGTGCCTGGACCTGCTGGGACCTTCATCTCCGGTTGCGATGTTGCCCTTCTCTTTGCTCTGGGCGACTCGGGTAAGAATGGGGCTCCAAGTAGTAGGAAGTAAGCTCCCCTCCTATCCTAGTTAACTATTCACAAACTTGGGTTCTCTTGGCTTTTAAACGCACGTGGTCTGGGTCCTCCGGGAGGGGAGAGCGGGAGGGGAGAGAGAATGTGCAACTAGGGGGTCCCTGAGACCCCCGGCGCACGCGGGGTGATTGGGGCCCCTCTCCATTCCGGTAGCCAGATGCCCCAGGGCCTTGTGACCGCCCATTTGACGTGGCATTAGGGAAGAGAACTGTGGACCCTGTGCTGGCCAGCGAGAGGGGTTCCTGGCCTGGACCGGCGAGCTAAGTCTTTCCTGCGAGCTCTGAGCCATGCAAATGATGCAGCTGGTCACCCTTGCTTGTATCAGGGGTCCCGCGGCTCTGTGGGCTGGAAGGAGGTGGAAAGAGTGGGGAGCACAAAAGACAAGATGTGGGTTTTGGCTTTCCCTGCTAGCAGTCCACCCCCAACCCCGTACACACACCTCTTCCCCAGGGGCTGCTGAAGGTCTACCCTGCCACCTCCGTTGCTCAGGAAACCACCAGCTCGTTGCCCTAACTTTTGCCAGTTTGGTTGCCTCCCACCCTGACTGGGGTATCACTTTGTGAAGGCTCTGCAGGAAGACCATGTGTTTCTGTGGGTGGGGACTGCCCCTCAGTTCCAGAGACATAGGCTTCTAGAGGACAGACTTTGCCCGAGGCTTTGCAGAGTGGTTCAAGGGCAGAGGTGGAGGGAGAGTCTGAGGTGAGGTGAATGGACCGAATCAGAACCACCCCCTGAACATTGATCTCAACCTTGGCTCTAGAACTGGCTTTTGAAGGTGGAGGTGGGAGTGGTGAGAACTGGAACAGACCGACGAGACAGCTGGCTGCTGGATGTGGGGCCTGAGGTCCTGATAAGCGTGGCTGAGGGTTGTTGACTGTTTTTGTCTGGGCACTTTTTCTTTGACCCTGTCTTTTCCTCCCCCAGCCTCTGCGGAGATGTGGTCGGCTGGTCAGGATGGCCATACGGTGCCAGCACAGCGAGGCAGCCCAGACCCAGACTGGAGAAGCAACCAAGGGCTGGTCAGGCCAGGAGAGTCTATCGGACAGTGACCCTGAGATGTGGGAGCTGCTACGGAGAGAGAAGGACAGGCAGTGTCGTGGCCTGGAGCTCATTGCTTCAGAGGTGGGGCCTGGGAGAGGGGCCAGGGCTTAGGCCACCGTGGGTGCTGCAAGTAACAGGTCATCTTCCTGCTATTTCTCCAGCTCTCCCTTTCAGACTCAGGGCCTTCCTGCTGGACCTCATCTTCCTCTCTTCTTACTGACCTCTGAAGCAAAGGCAGGGCCAGTCTGGCTTATGGGATGGGGCATTAGAAAGCTTCCAGAGCCTCCCGGGGCTCCTATAGTTTAGTCTGGTCCCTCTTCCATCCCAAGAGGAAAGAGAAGCTTGGAAGCACAGGTTCAACTGGACAGGTGGCCTTGCTGGAGACACCTATCACAGCAGCTGAGTTTCTGAGGATGCTGCTCTGGGCCTGCCCCAGGCCTGGCACGGAATCCTAAATGAACAGAGCTTTCTGTAGAACCCGGCTCCTCCCTGCAGCCTGGGCTCTGGCATGATGGGGCTGTGGGATCCAGGGAAGGGGGCTCAATACCTTCTGACATTGCCCCCTCCCCCACCCCAGAACTTCTGCAGCCGAGCTGCGCTGGAGGCCCTGGGGTCCTGTCTGAACAACAAGTACTCGGAGGGTTATCCTGGCAAGAGGTGAGGGCTAGGCACCAGAAGGCTGGAGGACAGCCTCAGGGATGGTGATCCCAGTGGGGGACACCTGCCTGTACCCTCCTAGTGTGCATAGAGAAGTGGCCTTCCCAGTCCTTTGCTGCTGGTCCAGGGGGATGGTGGAACCCTTTCTCTGTGCCCTGATCTACTCCCCTCCCGTTGCAGGTACTATGGAGGAACAGAGGTAGTGGATGAAATCGAGCTGCTGTGTCAGCGCCGGGCCTTGGAGGCCTTTGACCTGAATCCTGCTCAGTGGGGAGTCAATGTCCAGCCTTACTCGGGGTCCCCAGCCAACCTGGCTGCCTACACAGCCCTTCTGCAGCCTCATGACCGAATCATGGGGCTGGACCTGCCTGATGGGGGCCAGTGAGTATAGATGGGGTGGGTGATGGGCTTGTAGGCAGTATGGGCGTGGGAGAAGAGTAATTTGTTGAACACCTACTGTGTTCCATGCGGATGAAACAGGGCTCTCCCAGTCCTGCAAGTTCCAGTGAATGAGGAAGATAAGACCCCAGAAAGCGGGGCCCAGAGCCATGAGGGTGGTGCCTGCTAGGAGCAGTGTTCCAGAGACCCCGGCCTTTGGAGTGGGGCAGGAAGGGAGTGGCTAAGTCTGAGAGTTATTCCACTCTGAACCTGCCTACTTCCTCTCCTCCCCTCCCAGTCTCACCCATGGCTACATGTCTGATGTTAAGCGGATCTCAGCTACATCCATCTTCTTCGAGTCTATGCCCTATAAGCTGAATGTGAGTGCTCTAGGGTGTGGGGAGGGAGCTGTGAGGAGCTGCCCTGCTTTCTTCTTAGGGCTTTAGCTTTTTGTCTGTCTGTCCAGCCCAAAACCGGCCTCATTGACTATGACCAGCTGGCACTCACTGCTCGGCTCTTCCGACCTCGACTCATCATAGCTGGTACCAGTGCCTATGCTCGCCTCATCGACTACGCCCGCATGCGAGAGGTGAGTGGAGGGCTGGAGTACCCGCCCCTCCCTAAGGGCTGGTGGGGAGATTTTGGAGGAGGGGCAGCCTTGGGCAGGCCTGTCTGGGCCCTCCCCAGGCTGAGGCCTGTCTCTGTACCTGCCCAGGTGTGTGATGAGGTCAAGGCACACCTGCTGGCGGACATGGCCCACATCAGTGGCCTGGTGGCTGCCAAGGTGATCCCCTCACCTTTCGAGCATGCGGATGTTGTCACCACCACCACTCACAAGACCCTTCGAGGGGCCAGGTCAGGCCTTGCCTCTCACTGCCTTCACTCCCGGGGCGTTGTTGGGCTGGATCTGAGGAATTCGTTCCCACCAGAAGCCCTGTCTATGACAGTTCTCCTTCTCTTGCCCGTGGAGGCAGTTCCCCGGCAGGGGGTTTCGGGGTGGAGGTGAGGGCTGCTCCCCTCAGCCCCTGGAGTCTAGCACACAGAGCACAACTGTGCTGGACTCTGGAGCCTGCGGGGCTGGGCCAGCCAGCTTCCTCTGTTCTCCCCACCTCCTTGCCCTTTCTTTTCCGCTTAGCTTCTGACCGCCTACCTCCTGCACAGGTCAGGACTCATCTTCTACCGGAAGGGGGTGCGGGCTGTGGACCCCAAGACGGGCCGGGAGATCCCTTACACGTTTGAGGACCGAATCAACTTTGCTGTGTTCCCGTCCCTGCAGGGGGGCCCCCACAACCATGCCATTGCTGCAGTGGCTGTAGCCCTAAAACAGGTTGGGGAGCCTATTCTTGTGGGGTGGGTGGGGCATGGCCTACAGGTTCAGACCCTGCACCTTGCCAACTGAAGTTGGAGCTGATGGAAGGGGGAGGTGCCAGGATGGGAGGGGGTTGGGATGGGGTCACACTATGCTGGGGGTGGAGGGGCAGAAGGGGCAGGGCTTAAGGTGACAGTGCTGCTGTCTCATCTCCAGGCCTGCACTCCCATGTTCCGGGAGTACTCCCTGCAGGTTCTGAAGAACGCTCGGGCCATGGCTGATGCCCTGCTAGAGCGAGGCTACTCGCTGGTGTCTGGTGAGCCAGGGGGTAGGTGAAAGCCTCTCTACCCTCAGGCAGAGGCCCAGGACTCAGTACTTCCTGCTTACTGTCCCCCCTCAGGTGGCACTGACAACCACCTAGTGCTGGTGGACCTGCGGCCCAAGGGCCTGGATGGGGCTCGAGCTGAACGGGTGTTGGAACTCGTATCCATCACGGCCAACAAGAACACCTGTCCTGGAGATCGAAGTGCTACCACACCTGGGGGCCTGCGGCTGGGTGAGACCTGGGTTACAGCGGGGAAGGGTGGCTGCCAGGTGGGCTTGGGCCATGCTAATCCTCTCCTGCCTCTCTCCCAGGGGCCCCAGCCTTGACTTCTCGACAGTTCCGTGAGGATGACTTCCGGAAAGTTGTGGGCTTTATAGATGAAGGCGTCAACATCGGCTTGGAGGTGAAGAGCAAGACCGGTGAGTGGGCAAGCCCTCCCCTGCCCCCACCCAGTTTACATTCACTGTCTCCCCCCTCCTTCAACTGATCGAATGGCCTTCCCCAGAGCTCTGACCACTTTTTTTTTCTCCCCCATCTCTAGCCAAACTCCAGGATTTCAAATCCTTCCTGCTCAAAGACCCAGAAACAAGTCATCGGCTGGCTGACCTCAGGCAACGGGTGGAGCAGTTTGCCAAGGCCTTCCCCATGCCTGGTTTTGATGAGCACTGAAGGCACCTAAGAAATGAAGCGCACAGACTGACGTTTATTCCTCTTCCCCCTACCTGGACAAGTTAGGGGTGGGGGTAACTGCCTATCTTCCAATTTTTTGCTGGAGGAGGGGAAGGCCGCCCACTTAAGGGAAAAGGCGGGTATAGTTCCCCTTCCCAGGATTTGTAGCTGAGGAGGTTTCTTCTTGTAACAAGACTTAGAAGGAAGAGGCTTGGGGCTTTCTGCCCTAACCTCTCTCATTATCTCAGTGTTATAGACTCCCTGCCCTCTCTTGGGGAGGGGGGAGTTGCCCTTGTGAGCCAGAGGAAGGAGTGGGTAGGCACCCTTCTTTCATCTTTATCTAATAAAATGCTGACCTGCCCTGAGCTTCTGTTACTGTGGGAGGGGTCCCCTGGGCCAGGTGGTGATTTGTCTCCCTCAGCATGTCCCTCCCTTCCCTCCCACCACTACCACAAGGACCCCTGGGGCTGCAGTCTCCTCTCCCTCTGATCAGAGCCGACACCAGACATGATTAGCAGGCGGAGCAAATTCAATTTGTTAAATGAAATTGTATTTTGCCCACGGCTGCTTCTGTTTGATCCCAGGGGACGGAGGGGAGCAGGGAGGGGTGGGGAAGGCAGGGGGAGGCCCAGGTGTGAAGCGGGAGGGGGTGCCCATTGGCACAGGAAGCAGGGGGCTTGGGCACTGGGAGGAACGAGCTTCACCTCCTTGGGCGTAGGTGCCTCATCACAGGCTGGCTGGGCTGTCAGTGACGAGCCTGGTGGAGCCCAGTCGAGCCAAAGTAGCACCGCCCCTGGGCTGGTGCCCAGAGCCTGGGCGAACGTGGGGCCCGCCACGTCACTTGGCACTCAGGCCTCTGCTTGGTCTTGGCTCTCACGTAGGCCACGCTCCACACGTAGTGTGCACCACACCCTGTGAGGCCCGCGAGGCAGGGGGGCTGGCATGGGCCTTTTGGGTTGCCCAGGCTACTGCCTGCCCTCCTAACTCCCCCTTCCCTCCCCCCTCGTGGGACTGAAGCTGAGGGTCAGAGGTGCTTCCGCTGCTGGGAGCAAGGGAAGAGGGTAGGGGTGGAGCTGCCTCCCCTCCTCGTGGGAACTGGCCTGTGTAAGCAGGAGCTGGACAGGGTGGCTAGAGTGGTGCCCTGGGGTGGACGGTGGAGAGCGGAAGAAATGAGTAGGCTGGCTGGTGGTGGTTTACATCGACGTGCTCTGCAGCCAGGCTTAGAAGTCTGGCCGGTCTTTCTTCAGTTTCTTATAGTCAGTGGAAACTGCAAGGAACTACAGGAGAGAAAGGAGGGTTGCACCGAGTGCCCCAGGCCTCCCTTTGCTGGGGTGGGAGGCACCAGCTGGGATCAAGAGATGAGCGGACGGAGGTGCAACCCTGAAGCCACTGGGAGTTACCTTGTACTGGTCATTGGGGCTCAGGCGGTTCCAGGGCTCCGGGTTGTTCTTTCGGTCCCAGCTGTGGAGAGGGAGGGGGAGGGTTAGGGTTTTCTCTTTGGGAGCTAGGACTCTGGAGCCTCAGGGCACCCGCAGGGTCTGCGCCCCCGCCCCAGCACGCCCCCTCTTCCGCGGAGGTGGGGGGCATTTCCCAGAGACTGAGAGGGGAGGGGTCACGTTAGCGGGTGCTGACAAGTGAGACAAGAAGGCTGTCAGCATTGTCAGCCTGGGGCCAGGTGACAGACGTGACAACCCGGCCCAGGGACTCCCGCCTGCTCCTTGTCACCCCAGGTTAGCCCCATAGAGCAGAGCGGTGGGAATCAGGCAGAAATCCCGAGGCGCTGGGGTTGTAGTGATGTGCCTCGAATTCAGACAACGCCGTGGGTGCTCCTGCGTGCTGAAGGACCCTACACTCCCGCCGCCTCTGGCGGGGCTTGCGGTCTCCGCGCCGCCCCGGCCCCAAAGGCGCCCCCAGCAGCTCACCCGGCCACACCCCCAGCGCTTGGGCGGCGAGACAGAGGTACCAGAAGGCCACCGGCGGCCAGCAGAGCGGCGTCACCATGGCAACGCGGCCGGGAGCGGTGCTAGTTCCGCAGCCCAAAGCGGGCCGAGTCTCCAGCCACTGAGGAGTGAGCTGTCTGGTGGGCCCGAGCGAAGGCGGGGGCCTCGCAGGTCAGTAGCGGGCTCCAGCCCCGAGATACCACTTGCCTAGGGATTCCCGCGAGGACCCTTCATTCCCACCATTCCTGGGAGGCCTGTGCGTCCCTGTCTCATCTTGCTCCACCCAGGACCCCTTCCTGCGTCCCAAGCCCGGCCTTTACCAGACGTCGGGGCTGCGCAGCGCGAGTCGCAGCAAGTAGAGCGTAGCGCTGCCCATGCCCAGGCCAATGAAGCCGATCATCGGGATGAGCTGCGGGAAGACAGAGGGAACTTTCAGGGGCAGCCCCCTCCCAGTCGCCCTTTACAAGCTTTTCTGCTCGGCCCGCCCGCTCCCCCACTCCGGGTCTGGCGCCCCCTCCCTTCCGCGAGGGAGGACCTCCCACACCACATTTTTGCCGTAGTCTTCCTCAACCTATTGCGAGTCTGTCTGAGGTAGATTCAAGGGACACGGAGGGCATATTGCAGGGATGGATTGAGGGCACCCTGAAGAAATATTAGGAGCTTTGGGGGAACTAGGCAAGAGGCAGGGTACTGGGAGATTTGGGGGTTACCAGGGCAGCTAGAGAGTTAGAAGGTAGAATCATGGCTCCTGGGACCAAACTCACCCCGGGATGTCTCTTGATCTGCCGGTAGAAGCGGGCTCCGAGGCTGGTTCCTGCCATATCGCCTCTTCAGTGTCTGGTCCTCTCCAGCGTCCCTGCTCCCTTGCTCCTCCTGGGGTCCCGCCCCTCTCTGGGGAGGGGTCAGCCCAGCCCAGCCTGGCCCAGCCCGGCCGCTTCATTAGACTTTCCCCGCCCCCAATCTCTCTCCCTACGGCAGTTCCAGGCTCGCTGGGAAGAGAATTGTTGGGGAACAGGGGCATTTCTGCTCATCCATTCTCCACTCCAAGGGGTCAGACCCTGGCCCATGGGACATCATCATGCTTTGGGCTTTGGGCTGGTCCAAGGGAGAGGCCTCTCAGACTCTGCCTCACAGACTGATTGAGGGGGATCCAGAAGTGGGAGGAAGGACTCACCATGGGACAGGCAGACAGACCTCCAGCAAAGTGCAGGTGGGAGTGTTCACAGGTGGGACCAGGAGGGGCCAGGAAAGAATGAGGACATCTGTAATGCTTCCCTGACACCCCTAGAGCCACCCAGGAGCTGGCAGGTCTTGGGGGCCCTGGTTCTGTCTCCCTCCACATTATAGTGGGAACAGGAGGGGGACAGATAGACCAACAGCACTAAAGTTGCCCCAGCCGCTCTAGTCCTGGGTGGTTTCTTCAAGTTGCTTTCTCCAAGTTGTGTTGTGATTAGCCTGGAACAGTGTTTGGAGGCCAGGGAAGCCGGGTATTATCTTACACCTGACTCAGAATAGAATAAATCAGTTGGTTAAGTTTGGGGGCTAGAGAGACTTCCTTCCCCTGCCTACCTGGGTTAGCCATCCAAGGAAGCCACGTTCTGTCTCTGGCTGTGATGGAGAGAAAGAGAATGGAGTAAAGGAAACAGCTGAGGAAAGACAGAAAAGATGTTGAAGGAGAAAAGAGAAAAAGACAGAGACAGAAGCGTCGTAGAGCGATTGCCTCCCTTTACGTGACCAACTGGGGTGTATGAACTCTCGTGTATGCTATGTTGTCAGGGTGGGAAAGCTCACTGCCACCGTCTTCAGGAAACTGGGGTCCTAGGGACCCAGGAGCGCAGCCCTAACCACCTCTCCCCACTCCACGCTAACCTCCATCCTCCCTGCCTCCCCCACTGCTGCCCTGGCAGCCCATCCTACAGAGCTCTCTCACTTCTCCCCTCCAGAGCCTCATGGTGCCCAGGCAGGGGCGAGCTGTGCACCCACCGCTGTGCCCCTCAGAGCACCGAGAGGGAAAAGTCCCTTTCTGGGGGCCCTCCTGCTTTCGCCACGAGCTGATACCTCCCCAGCCTCCTGCGCTGACAAGCGCGGCTGTAATTAGGCTGCGGGGTCCCGAGCTCTCCGCCTCCCTCCGGCGGATAATGAGATAAAGTGTCAGAGACACGGCGAGAACAAAGAGACAGAGACTCACTGCTTACGTGTGTGGGGGACGGGGGAGGGCGACTGACGGGATGTCAGAGCCTGGAGCAGCGCAGAGCCCGGCCCTTCCTGAGCACCCGCACCTCCAGGGCTGGGTCAGGGGCTGGGGTGTCCTGTCACCCCCTTAGCCCTCCAGTCTCTGGGACTAAAAATCACTCCTGGAGCTCGAGCTCGAGGGCCGCACAGCTGGGCTGCACATCGGGCTCTTGTGGCACAACTGGGGCTCCAGGATGCTGATAGGGATGTCTGGCCCCTGTACTGCGCCCCTTTGCTTCTTGGGCCCTCGCCCTCCTTCCGGTGCCCTTTCTTGTGAGTTCCAGTGACCCGGGCCTAGCGCATTCAGGACCCTCTGACCCACTTCTTTCCTTGGAGCCGCCGTTGATTCTCCTGCCTTGGGCCTCCGCCGGAGTTCCTTATTACATTACTGCTTTCGCGCTTGCCTCTCCGGGGCTCCTTGACCCTTCACCTGCTTCTGGTACTTCTCTCTGACCCCTTGTCGGTGACCCTATTTCTAAGGCCCCGCCCATCTCTGGATCGTGGTCTCTGGGGCCAAGCTGAGACACAGAACTCCTTGGGTTCCACATCGCATTTCTTCCCACCTCCCCGCATTTTCCCACCAGAAGGACTCAGGCCACGCTGACCGAGCCGACAGAGGTCATTAGCTGCGGATTAGGCGTGGCCAGGGGCGGGCTGGGTTCCCGCTGGGATCTGACTCTGAGCCCTAAACCTTACAGACACTAATCCGCGCTCTGGTGGAGCCGAACGTCAAAAGCAGCTGGACTCCGCGGAACAAGTTGGCAGCGGGGCCGTGGGTGCGGACGCCCCCTGGAGGCGGAGCTGCTCTCAAGCTCTTATGGGGCGATGCCTCAGGCGTCCCCTATCGGGCCGCGCTGGCCCTGCGCCCCGCGGCTTTTGGGCAGGTAAATTAGTGCCAGGAGTGTCGGTCGGGCTGGCAGGTCAGCCGTTCCTGCCACTCCCACCGCCAAGGCAGTGGGTCCCTCAACTTCCACTCTTCTGTTGTGAGGTGGGGCCGAGTGAAGGGAAGGAGAGGGGACGAGGAAGCTCCCACTTCGCCAGCTGCGGGCACCCCAGGTTCAGGCCAGTTTCTCTCGCCAGGCTGGGCTGCCCCAGATGCCCGGGAATCCGCCTCCGCCCCGAGACTGCTCTCCGCCCTCTGACCCTACCTGCCCCAGTCTCGGGCTGCCCATTTTTTCTGGGTCTGCTTCAGACCCTATCACTGTCTCTCTGTTCCTTCTCATTCTGTCTCTCCCTCTGCAGCTCTCTTTACCTGGCTGTGTCCCCCTGCATCTGTTTCTCTGTGTCTCCCTCCGTTCGTCTCTCCTTCCCTCTACATTGCTCTACATCGCTGTGCCTCTCTTTACAAATGCCTCTCTCTCTGTCACTGTCTTTCTCCCCCCTCCCATTCCCCGGTTCTATTCCTATTCTCTGCCTTGCTGCCCCTGGGGTTCTGCAGCAGTCAAACGGGACAGCCTGGGGACACCTCGGGGCACTGCCCAGGGTCCTCTTCCCGGTCACCTCCACACGCCCATCACCTTGGCGCGGGCTCCTTCTTCCCTCTGCAGCAGTGCGGCGTGGAGGGGGCGCCAGGGTTGGAAGACACAGTGCCCAGCATCTGCTCGGGAGCCCCGGGGCCCCTGACCCCCTCTGCCGCTATTAAGGACGCCGGGTCCCGAGGCTCTGAGATGATCATGATTGCATCAGCCAGACAGCCGCGGAGCCGGGAGCCGCGCAGCGAACGAACCAGCGAGACAAAGACGCCTGCGCCATCTGTTTATGCAAAGCGCTCTCCGCCCGGGACCCCGGCGTTCCGGTGCCTGGCCCAGCTCTGGACATAGGGTCATGAGTCAGCTACTGCCCGGCGCACCCGCCGCGCTGCGGCTCCCCCACTCCCCAGCACCCAGAGGGGCCGCGGGGCGAGCGGAACTGAGGGGGGCGGGGGGTGTTGATGTGATTGGAGCGGACGCGGCTCTTTCTTCAATAATGGATGGAGATGATGCAGACGGCGGAGCCAAGCCCGCTCGGAGAGGAGAGAGGAATAGAAATGGGGAGAGGAAGGGGCGGGGGCGGGAGACTCACCCTGGCAAGCACACACGCGCGCGCGCGCGCACACACACACACACACACATACACGAGCGTGCGTGCGTGCGTCACACTGTCATTCGAATATACGCCGCCGCGCGGCTCACACCCAGGCACACGCCCACGCACTGTCACTGAGGCACACACACCTGCAGGCAGAGACGCCCGAACAACACACACTCACCAGAAGCTTTTCCTGGTTCTCACACATACACGGTCCTACAGGCAGAAGCGCATGTAAATGCCCACACGCGGGGCACACGCAGCAGTGAAGAATGCACAGACACGTAGACCCGTCAAAACACATATGTACATCTGACACCCAGGGGCTAAGACAGCCAAAAATCTTAAGAGGTTGGGGGTGGGGCTGATCGGGGACAAGACACATACTCAGCGGCACAGGCTCACACCAGGGGCACACATACCAGGGGTCCACACATATACACAAACACAACACCTGAGACTCTTGATAGACACACCTCACACATTCAGGGCACAGACACACACACACACACTACAGAGCAGGGACACAGACACCCATAATCAGCAGGGGCACAGAGAAATCCCCTTCCCCCCTCCCCCCACACACTCAGAGTTTCACACCCACACATGCCAGAGCTGCTGCCTGTGCCCTGCCGTGGCGAAGTGTGGCAGAGAGGTCACTGGGATCCCTGAAGCAGGCCTTGCTAGTCTAGCCATATAATGAGGTTCTGATGATAGGAGATTCCTGGAGCTGTGGACCCTGCGCCCCTGCTTGACTGCCTACAAACTTCCTTTCTTGGCCCCCAGGGCCAGTGGTGTAGACCTTAGGCCTCTCTGGCCACAGCCGACCCTGCCAGCCTCAACCCGGGTAGCTGGGGGAGAGGTGGGAAAGCCATAGAGGGATATTAGCAACCGCATAGGGAGACTCCCAGCACATCCCCAACACAGCCAGGAGGCAGGCTCATCCCTGGTGCTGCTCAATCTTCGGACTTCAAGGGGCACTTTCTTTGCTAAGAGCCGGGTGGGCACTGGGGAGGGGTAGGATGTGGGTTGTGTTCTGGACCCTAGTAACCCGGCCCCTCCTTCAGTCTGTTTTCAATTCAGTCAGCTCCTTGGCCTAGACTTATGACCTTTGCAGTGTGAGGCAGCATCATCTATCACCCAGGCGGCTGCTGGCAGGGGTGGGGGGCGTTGGGGGCTCACACAGGGTCGCTGTCCCTCCTGCCTCCCTCTCCTGAGACCTGCTCTCTGCCAACAGGCCAGGGTCCACGGGCAGGGCAAGTACTGGGGGGAGGGTGTGACCAAGGGGCTCAATTGCTATAACTGGACCTTGTGTCCCCACCCCTGACACCCCAGCACCCGTTCTTCGAACTCGGCACAGTCAGCCTCCCCGCTCCTCCCACCCTCCCTCTCTCGGGCCCTTTGCTTAATTTCCTATTAACTGCTGATAAATCCAATTAAACCGCCGCTCTAATTAGGGACAGCTGCCGGCTCCGGGAGGCGGGGGAGGAGGGTGCCCCCCGAGTGTAGGGGGAGAGAACAGCAGCTCTTTCTGTTTCTCGGTACCCCTACACCAGCACTGCCGCCCAATGAGCCAGTAAATTGGTTTTGTTTCAGCATTATGTGTGTGGGGGGCGCTCTCGAGGATCTTGGGAGGCTCTGGTTTTGAGTCCCTTTGATCGCTTGATGAAGAATTGCGACCCAAGCCCTATCCGTCCCTGTCCCCCGCTTTGGTGGTAGGATCGTGAGGAGGGATGGGGGCAAAGGTTTGTGTGCAGCGGTGGAGGGGGGCCTGCGATCTGATATTCCAGCCCAAGCGTGATTCGAGGGGGCTGCCTGAGCTTCCCTTTATGACCCCGCCGCCGCCCCGAGGCGTCCGGATCAGTCAAGGGCAAAGGGAACAGGAAACCGAACCAGGTTCTGAGGCGAGTCTTCTCGTGTGCTTCCCTACCCGCAACACACCTCAGCTTTCTGGAACGAAGGGGGGCGCTCCCGTCCCGGGCCCTCCTCTTCCCCAGCCCAGCTGAGACTCTGCCCTCCCCCCGCCAGCAGCAGATGGTGCCCGGGCTCCCGCTGCCAACCTTGCTAGGCGGTGCCAACCTCAGGCCTGGCTGACAACCGGCAGAAGAGAAGAGGATCTCTTGACTGGCCAGGCTGACCCTCCCCCACCCGCCATCTAGCTCAAGACCCTCAGCCAGCCCCACTCCAGCGGCCACCCCAGGCTGCCGCTCACTGGTCCGCTCCCAGGTCCCTAAACTCCTCGTCTCCTCCAGCTCCCTTTCCTACACCTTCCCGCTCCCCGCCACCTGCCACCGCGACCTGGGCTGGTACATTTGCATATTTGCATATGCAAATATAATTTACATACGGCGCACCGCAGGGGGGGTCTCCGCTTGAGCTGCTTAGCTGTCTGCCCCGCGCCCTCTCACTTGGTACCTGTCGCAAAGGGCTGGGGCGGGGGCCGCGCGGGAGGGGTCAGGCCCCCACCCCCCCGTCTCGCTCGCTCAGTTCCCGGAGGACTTGAGGAAGTGTTGCCATGGAGACGGCACGCACCCCACCCCCTTACAGGACCAGGGTCTCAGGCTTGGTGTCTCCGGTTCTCTCCCCCCGCCCCCCCACCCCCGTCCCTCGCACTTCAACCGAGATCTTGCATCGCCCCCTGGCGGCCTAGCTCGGAACTGAGCCAGGTTCGGAAATGCAAGGGGCTGCCCACGGCGAAATCACTAAGAGCTAGTGGGACCTACCCTGCTACCCGATCCTGCTCCCAGCAGCAGAGGCGCGGGGGCCGTGACCCCAGTCCAGCTCCCCTTTCTTCATTGACGACAGAGGCCCTGCCTGGCGGACGCATCTGTCTCCCCACCTCGCACCATGGTAGTGAGGGGAGAACTGGGGAAGATTCGCCACCCCTTCCCAGGCCCTCTCTCCTCCCTCTCCCCTCGGCCCCCAGTTAAACGGTAAACTTTTCTAACTTTTGTCAAAACTTTAATAAATTCGCAACATTCGATGGTTCGCCTCAATGCCCCCTCCCGTCTCCCTAGTGGAGACGCGTTCTTTTTCCAGATCTCAAAGGCTGGACCTGAGGGGTTGCGAGTGAGGCTGCTCCCGGCACCAAGTATCCGACGCCCTCGGCGGGGGAGGGGGACGGGAACCAGTCCCTTCCCGGAAGCACCGTCACGTTCCGGCGGGCCTTCCCATCTCCCCCACCCAGCAGTATAGTTGCTTTCGCCCCTTTTCTCCCCAACCTCCACTGGGCCTGCCCAGAATGGGGTTTGGTTATCTCCCGCCAGCAGGCGTCTTCACGCCTAAATCTCCTCCAGGAAGTCGGTGGGAAACAGCCCCACCTTGCGGCCGGTGTAGACCTTGACGTAGCCACCGGCTTCATCTCCTTTCTGCACCACAATCTAAAGGATTAAGGGACGAGGGAGGAGGGGAATCAAGAGAAAACAGTAGAAGAGCTGAGTAGGGGAGTCCAGAGTTATGGAGGCCCAATCTAGCCCCATTAATGGGTTAAGATCTGCAAGGAGTGTAGTTTGCAGAGAAGCCTCTGGGCCTGGGGTTGAGTTGGGGCACCAGAGCTACCTGGTCCTTCTTGAGAGTGATCTGCCCTATCTCGCGGTTCCCCACGAAGGATCTCGTTACGCGGTGCACACGCTCTCCAGACCGGACCCGAATGATGAAGTTTGGAGGGAAAAATCCGACCTTCTCCCCTATTTTCCCCTAAAGGAGATGGTAGGCGTAATTAATCTCACAATCTCTGGTTCTAAACTCAACCCATGTCCCACCCGAGTCTCAGACATTTCTCTTACCCGCCACCACTCCTCATTGGAGTCATCAATGACTGTGATCTTCTCTCCAGGCCTGGGAGAGGAAGGAAGGGGCCTCTGAGATTTAGGAGCCTTACACATTCAGTCCCTTGGCTGTGCCCAGGTCCAGCCCCAAATAGGCTCCATGCCTGAGTCCCCCCTTTTCCTTTCCCATAGGGAGCTGGGCTCTCCCCTCTCCACTCCCAGTACACCGCCACCCCAATCCTAAGGCCTCTCACGGGAAATCCAGATCGTCCTTCTCCAGGGCTTTGAATCGATAGAGAGCCACAAAGTAATGAGACTGCTGGAAGCCAGGCTGCTTGTGCTGGGGGTGAAAGGGGGTGATGAGTCTCAGGGCACCTCTGTCCCAGACTGAGAGGCAGGAGGCAAGGCCAGGGGTATTTTCTAGACACACTACATTCCACCTCTCTTTCATGTCCCTGAACTAAGACGAATGTGTTGGCTGTGTGAGGTGGTGGAGAAGACAGGTTAATGATTGGAACCCATGGAATAAGTGTGAGCTTCTGCTGAGGCCGTGAGTGGCGTGAGTGGTGTCAGACCTAGGTTGGGGAGAGGACTGGGGTCCCCACAGGGAGAAAATATTCTCACTTTGTCATCAGGTGTCTTCTTTTCAGCTTTCTTATCCCCTTCAGGGTTTCCTGGAATGGGAAACACCGACAAATTGTCTCTGGCTTCTGGAGTGTAGCCCTCAATCCCTTACCTTTCTGTTCCAGGGCCTCTTACCTCCAAACCTGGCATGCTCTTTGGCCCTCCATCTCCTGTGCCACAGCTGAGCCCTGACCCTCCTCCATCTCTATGGATGGAGGTGAGTGTTACTCACCATCCTGGGGTTTGCCTTCCTGTAGTCTGGCAGACTCTGGCTCCTCTTCCATCATGGCTGCTAGAGACTGGAGAGGGCACTAGAGTTAGGAAGATGCTGTCTTGGAAACCCATGCTTGCCCTGGCTCTCAAGTCAGGCCAGAGAACTAGAGAATAGGATCTCAGTGTTGGAAGGAGCCTTGGAAGAAGTATCTAGTCAACCACCTGCCTAATGGAGGGACTTCCTCTGAAACAACATGGCAGGTGACCACCCACTTTGTGCTTGAATGTAGTTGACAGGAAGCTCACTACCTTGCAAAATCCATGTCCTTTACTATAATGTCTGCCCTTAAAAATACTACAGTGTGTAAGAGAAAAATGGGCAGCACAATTTTTAGAATTCCCTTAAGAGAACAGAACCCGAGTGGGCTAGCCTTTCTGGAAGCAGTCAGATCACATTGATAGTGCCTTATAAGTCACAGCTCACTCCAAGAAATCCCTAATTTACACCCAACTTTCATATCAACTACTTTGAGGCCAGATCTCTAGTTCTGTTTTTGTGCAGTTGATTTTCATTTTTTGATCCAAGAACAGTTAGGTATTTTTCCTTACACAATTTTGGATGATTAGTTCTTGGTCTTTCTTCTAGTCTGTAAGATTTTTGAATATATTATTCAGTGTATGAGTTTTCCCTCCTAGGTTTCCCACAAACTTAATGGGATATATCATTTATATCTTCATTTGTATCAGTGAGAAAAATGTCCATAGGTGAGGACTAAGGACTAAATCATGTCATAAAGCATCAGAAATCTCCCTCTAGTTGGAAACTCCCTAAAGGACCAGAATCCTTTGGGTGCTGTCATTCAACCAATTTTAGGAATCCATCTAACTGTAACCATTATCCACATTAGTCCATCCTTGTTGTCCAGAAAGATATAAGGATATGCTAACAAATTCCTTGCTGAACTGAATACGTCTATTGTATTACCAATCTAGTAACCTATTACAAAAGGAAATGAAGGTGCTCTTGGCCACAAGCTTTGTGCCTCAGTTTCCTCATCTATAGGATAAATGGGTCAGACCAGATTACCTTCATGGACCCTTGGGGGGGCTCTAGAATTCTCTGATTAGTTGGCATGACAAGCTCTCCTCTCCAAATCCAAAAGCATAGCTTTTCCTCTGTTGCCTGGCAATGCCAGGGCCCTGGGGCCTAGCCTTTAGTTAGTTATGGTGGTTTATCTGACAATTTCAGAAGGGAGTTCCTGGAGTAAACACATGCTATGGCAGGAGTTGTTAAACTGAGGCCTTTTAAAATTGCGTGCAAAAATTTGTCTGTTGGGTTATGTGCAATTTTAGGGGAAGAGGATTCCTACTTCTGTCAGCTTTCCAGAGAGGAGACAGGACCTGCTCCATGGGGTCTCTGGAAGGCCTCAGTAGGAAAACTGGGTGCTCACATTTTTTTTATCTGCCTGTCCCTTCTTCCGTTCCTTGTTTGCCATGATCACCCCACTGCGAAGGGTTTCAAACACAGGGTCATTGCGATTGGCAGCAGCTAGTTGGAATGGGAGAAGAAAGGAGACATTACTGGAGAGGCAGAAAAAGGCTTAGAGGAAAGAGAGACCTCTTAAGTAAGGGAGAGATGGGACTGAGTAGGTGCGTGTGTGTTTAGAATTAGCAAAATGTCAGCTGGGTATACCTAGGGTCATCAATTTATAAAGAGCTCTAAAGACATCACTGGAAATGTGATGGAGAAAAATATTTACCAGCACTCCTTCCAGGCAGAGCATTATATGATGTTGGAAAGACAACTCTGCTAATGAGTTGCTTGGGAGTTGGGGAATGCTCAGAATCACTATTTTCCTTTTAAGGAGAGTGGTCCTTTAACTGCTGGCTTTTGTTCCGCTGAGTGGCATGTGCAAGCTGGGGTACTACCACCAGTGGGTTCTTCTTTTTCCATCCATGCTCCTCACAGAGTTCAGCCTCTCCTCCAAATAAATGTTGAGCAAATTGTCAACAAATACACTTTTAAGGGTTGCCAAATTATGAATCTGCCCAGGATGCCCACAGCTCTTGGTCTGGCCCTGAGTCTGGCACTATGCTCTAACAAGGATGAGGACAGTCTGCTTCATGCTTAGAAATGGTTTTGCATATGAAGAGCAGAGTTTGAAGTCAGGCAGAAGAAGGTTTCAGTCTTGGTTCTGTCTCTTTCTTATCTGTCTCTTTCTTACTGTACAAAGCCCGTGCTAAATCTTATCTCCCTCTGTTATAAAACAGGGGAATACTGACTCTGCATCCAAGATGGCTAAAATATTAGATTGAGCGAAAACCATGGGAAATAGAGTCTGTTTCAGAATTTGGCTTCCCAATCTGGAGATCGTGCTGAAACCATCTCTAGGCTTGCCCATTCCCTCAGGTCCCGTATGGGGCACTTACAGAGATCTTTGACACAAGCGTACTGCTGGTTGCTGTAGAGAGGGGAGCTATAGGCCCGACGGAAACCAGGGGGCTGTAGGATTGGATGGGAGAAAGCATTAGAGATAACAAGGTAGGGCCCAGAACCCATCTCTCCCGTGAGTATTCACCCCTTCTTGGAGTAAGAGATGGGTTGAGGAAAAAAAAGCGGGGAAATGGGTGGGATGATTTGAGGAGGGACTGGCAAGGAGGTAGCTGGCAACGCGTCCCCTCCCTTCTACTTTCTTGCTCCCCAGAGCCTACTCACGATCTTGCCGAAGCATCTCTGCATCTCCACATAGGACTGACAGTGTTCGTGGATGTTAGTTTTGCAGTTCTTACAGCGAAGCCCAAATTTGTTGTTGACTTGGGAGATGGGGAGAACATCTGGGTGAGGTTCCTGATTTCCCTTCCCCTTTGTACCATTGCTGCTACTCTAGCTCTTAGGTCCTTTTTCTGTCTGGGACCCAACACTCTCAGTCTGGAATAGTATTTTCTTAAAGCCAAATCTTACCACAGCCTGTCTGATATACAAATACTCCTTTCCTAAACCCTTTCCCCCACCCCCTGCCTTCGACATCACACTCTCCACTTCCCTTCATGACTCACGCACAATCATCCGGGCACAGACATCACAGAACTTGGGCTTCTTGAAGAAATGATCTTTGAATTTGTGGGGCTTATCATTAACAAGCTTAGGAGGTTCTGGGGGTGGCTCCTCCTCCTCTTCTTCCTCCTCTTCCTCATAGATGTAGTAGATGGGCCCACCCCCAGCTCCCACTGCCTCCCCATTGGCCTGGGGCTCTGGGGGAAGCTCCATCTCCTTTGTCCCTGTAGACTCCTTCCTGAATAATTGCTTCAGCCGCTGTAGCTGAGGGAGGGAGTGAAGGAGACCCAATGTTAAAAGAACTGTCTTGCTTTCTAGAGTAGGTAAGGCTGAAGCTAACTACATTTTTCTAGCCTGGGGCAAGGGGCACACCCCAGGATTAGGGGGTATCAGGGGCTGTGGGTGCTAGCTAGCGTTTTAACAATAAATGAGTCATATACAAGTGAGATCAATTCAAGCACTTTTCTTCAAGGGCTGCAGCGGTTTCCCAGCTCCCCCCACCCAGTGGTCAGAAGCCCAGACTCACCCCACTTTGCCGAGTCTCTGCTGGGAAGGAGGAGGACTCCAGCACCTCCTTTTCTGTCATCCTGCAAGAGGTTGGACCCCACTGTGAAATCTAATCCCTGACTGCCATTCTTCCCTCCCATATTCCTGTCCCTTGCAGTGGGGTGGTCCTTGGAGGGGAGGCTTTGGGAGAAATTTGGTTAAACAGAGATCCTTCCATAAGGCTTATGAGCAGAAAGATTCTATGCAAGTCCAGAGAAAAGCCCAACAGACTAAAGACCTTCCCAACCAGTTCCTCAAACCAATAACCATACTTCTACCATGAGGGGCAACCCCAGAGTTTACACCCCCAAGACAGTGCACAAGGCTGTGTGGTTTAGGGATTTTCCTACAGGTACTTTGTTTCTCTTGGGAATCTGTGGGCAATAGAAATGTGACACACACCTTCCCAGATCCCCTTTCAAGAGGTTTAATGTGTGTGTCCACAAGCATGCAAGGAGGGATGGGCTGGGGACATTTGTTCTCCTCTACCTCTCTCTTGAGCCCTGGGGGCCCAGTGCCTAGTTCCCAGCCTGCCTCAGGCCTCAGCTATTTTAAGTTTTCAGAGTAATATGAGCCTTTCCTTCCCTTACTACTCCATTCCCCTGATCCCACCCCCACCCCACCCTCTAATCCTAGCTCTTGTCCTGGAGTAGAATAATAATAATTTTATTCCTAAAACCCAAACTACTCACAGACAAGCAGAGAAATGAAGAAGCGGAATAGACTATGGATTGGGGAAGCTTGGGTGAGCAGTCCTGGAAATGGAAAGAGGATGAAGAGGCAACTTACGTTTGGAATTCCCTAAGTCAGTCCACAGCCTGTGGAGGAAAGAGGGAGCCCCTGGGATCTTGACGGTGGTGCTGGGGGAGGGCTGGTCTTCTTCCTTGGGGGCTAAGCCCCCCCAGTACTCTCTGTACTCACACCAGCTACCCAGACGGTGTTTGTAGACCTCCTAGCCTCTCGCCTTGGTGTCAGAGCTGAAATGACAGGGCTGGAGGAAAGTGGACAGCTGAGCGACAACAGCTGACACAGAGAAATTGGACACGGGGAGGGCTGGACCCTAACTCCTCCCATCCCCCCAGAGCTGCTGTTGCCTGGTTTTTCATCTATGGTGTGCAGGTCAGAACTGGCTAAATTCAGGAAGGGACATACCGCATACTCATATGGGTGATTTTTTTTTTTTTTGGTCACACTCTGTGTGTGTGGCTTGTGGGATCTTAGTTCCCCGTCCAGGGATGGAACCTGGGCCCTTGGCAGTGAAAACGCGGAGTCCTAACCACAGGACCGCCAGGGCATTCCTTCATGTGGGTGATTTTAAATGACTAAAGGTGAAGATGAATTATAAACAGGCTTCTCCATCCTTTTCCCAAGGTCCAAACATCTCTCCAATTCTACCTTCCCTGGATCTACTTTAGGAACTAGCCTTCGATTTCTCAGCCACCATCTTCTTGTGGCCATGTTTTTTTTTTTTTTTTACCCTCAAGCATCGATCTAGCCTCCAATCTTTAGGAAGGAAAGGGCTTGGAAACTGGTGAAGAAAGGAACATTCGAATTTTCAGAGCTCTCCTATCAGCCAAACTAGATTGCTTTCTTATCCATGGGTAGTTAGAAGGGTACCTTGCTGCTATCCTGTAAAGGAGTGAAGAACATGTAGTACTGCTTTGTTCCCTCCAGCTGCCCCCAGAGATATCTTTCCCCTATTCCTCTAAAATCTTGTCCGCAGGGTGAAAGGAACTCTAAGAGCTATTGAAAAAGGCCAGGCTGGGACTTCCATCTGAGGGGTTCTGGGGGAGTGAGGGTCTAATGATCACGTACAGATTGTTTTGTTAATATTGGACAGAAGGCAATAGCTGTCACACATGGAGTTTTTATCATCTGTAAGTAACGTCCCCTTTCCCATGGGAACTGCAGACTCTTGGAGGTAGGATGGCCAAGCCTCAAGCTTCCTTTATCATTCTGATTCCCTGATTCCATCTCTTTCTTCTGATGCATATGATCTGATGGGTCAATGAGGTATCTGGCATTATCTCACAGGGATGCAGCCTTTTCCTAGTCTGAGCTGTGACATGGCTGAAAAAGGAGACACTCCCATCTCAGAGCAGGGCAATTTGGAGGTGGTAATGTCGTGCTGCTTTATCCCTTGTATCTGTAAGAAGTAAAGGATTATGTTGGAGGTTGGGCCAGACAAGCTTCAGAGGAGGCTGGCTAGAGAGATACTGCTACCCATACACAAGGGATTTCCAGGGCAATGTGCTATGTCATTTCTGCCTACTGTTCTTTTTTCCTTAAGGGGTGGGTGACATTTTTCAGCAGGGGCTGCTGGATGGTTCTGGGTCAACAGGCTCTTTAATGGCCCTCGTCTGACAGGCTGCACAACAACAGGGCTAGCTTTGGGAAGACAGAGGAAAGCTCTATTATCTTACAGGCAAGTGACTTCTGCTCTTCACCTTTCTTCAGCTGCACAGGACAGGGACTGCTAAGCACACCTGGATAGTATGACATCTTGGCACAGCAAGTTCAATTGATGTAGCTTTTATTGTAAGAAACATGCGGTTCTGTTCCTGCCAGGTAGAACCCAATCCTCTGGCTTTGGGATTAAAGAAAGGCCCAAGTCCTCCATCCCTGAAGAGTTTTCAGAATATGAGATGGACAGGTATGAAGCAAGCATCTCGACCCAGTTTTGGACGTCACTCACACTCCTCTGGCTTAGCTACCAGGGCCCTAAATGTGTATCACAGAATTAACAGGGTGGAAGGAACCTCGGAGGTCGCCTAGTCAGTCCAAGTCTCTTATTTTACTGGTAAGAACTCAGAGGTCCAGAGTTGAGAGTGATGTGCTTGATAAACCACCACAGTTAGTGGCAGAGTCCCATTACAGACCCAGCCATTTATCAGAATTATTTGTAAGGAGTAGGACAGGATGCAGGGAATAGTGTTAGGAAGATATGTGTGCATATGCCAGAGAAAGCCATCCCAGCCCGCATCAAATCCCTCCGACCCCACCCATACCAGGGTGGCAACAGAAAACGGACTGATGTCCAGTGACAGATTTTCTTTTTATATTTAAAAACAAAATCAACCCCCCCCGAAGAACCCCCCAACAAACAAAAAATCAGATTAAATAAAATTTACAGTGAATATACCCAGCAAACATCTGTATGTGCAATTAAATACTGTGTCTGTTACTGCAGCACAAACCTCAAACAAACAATATACAAGTGTTCTGGGGGGTGGAGGGAGGCCCAAGTTTTAACTCTGTGGGGTTTGGGGAGATAAGATGGGGTGGGAGAAAGGGGAAATCAATTTCATTTTTCTTAATTCTGTCCATATAAATATATTCATAAGGACCAAAAAAGAAAAGGGAGCTTGGGATGGTGAGGAAATAGGAGAACATGGGAGTGTGGGACCCTCCCAATTCTACCTGACCAAAAAATATGAAAGAATTAATTGCATGGTGAGAGAAGAGATAAAAAATCATAGAAGAGGATGGGAAGGAGAGGGAAGCAGACATGGGGCCAACCAGGGAAAAAGAGGGACCCTTGGCAGGGGAGTGAGAAAGAGTTCAGTGCCAGTGTGAGTGTCTGTCTCTGTTTCCATCTTCATCCCTACTGTCTTAGGCTCCAGTTTAGTGTCTGTCTGTGGACCTTACCTTACCTTCTGCCTCTGTCTGTGGTCTGACAGGACCCCTTGACCCCTCTACCCTGCCCCACCCCTGCCGTGCTGGTCCCTTCTTCTCCTCCATTTATTGGGAGCTGGCTCGCTCCAGGATCCTCAGGTCATAGTTCTTTTTGGCCACTCGAAGTTTGAAGCGACTCACAGAGTTGTTGAGGCGAAGGGAGGCATTTTGGGCAGCCAGAGGGCTGGGGAACACAGCCACGATGGTGTACAAGGCAGCAAGGTCCGAGTGGCGGCCATTCTCAGCAGTCCCACCGTTGTCCCCCACACCCCCACCAGGCAGCCCCTGAGCATCCTTGAGCCACTGGATCTTGGCGCCAGACATGGCAAGCTGAGTGAAGAGTTTGTCCGCCTCGGTACGGGTGATGCCCTCAGGGAGATCTGTCACCTCCAGCACCCGTCCCAGGACTGGAAGGGGAGGAGACAGGACATGGTTGTAAGAGGTATAGAGTAGGAAGGACTGGCCAGCAGCCCAGCAGAGGAGCATCCAGCTGACCAAGTCTGTATACAATGTCCTCAAAAGCCCAGCCTTTCTCACTTAGTCCTTTCCTCCCTCCCCAAATCAACCCAACTCCCTACCATCCAGACTCTGATCAGGGCAACTAGGAGACACAAAGGAAACTTTCTCTTCTCCTAGCCTAGAGATGTAGGCAAGAGGAGACTGGGAATCAGAATCCCAGATTTAAGATCTGGAAACCTATACCTCAGTTCTCTCACAGGGTGCAATTACTGTGAAGGAAGTGTGGCTTTTGGTTATGTTATTTCACAAAGTTAATAGCTCAGTCTGAAATATGTTCCATTCCCTTCCCAGAGGCTGGTCCAGGTAGATTCCTCTTTCTTATCATCTAGGGAAGTCAGTTTCCCTTCCTTACCTTGTTTAGCAAACTGCTCCAGTAGGCGAAACCCCAAGAGATCTTGTTATGCCTAGTATGGAAGGCCTGCAGGAGGAAAGTTACTCCCCCATATTCTCTTATCAAGCCTCTCCTAAACTGGGTCTAGAACTACCAAAGGTAGACATCCTAGATCAGCGTCAGGACCACTTCCACAAGGCTGTCTGTTAATAGCAGGCTCAACAAGCCCCATCATTGTGTTATTCCAAATTTTCACCCTCATCTTCCCTAGGACTTGGAATGGCTTGGTAAGGAGGACTGAGACACCTCACTTCTCCAGCTTCTCCTTGCTTTTGAGTACGAAAAGGTCCTCTTTTGACTCCCTACCCTAAGCTGGCTTTTCTCACCATCCTGGGCTGGTAATGCAAGGCTGGAGGGGTTAAGCACCTTCTTTTGGGAATTCAGCATCCTGTCACTCACCAACGTCTGTTGTCCCCAGGTCAGTGGAGGCAGATTTGAGTGCTTGTCTCTTGCTCCGGTTTCCATGCTTCAATCCACTCTGTCCCTTCAACATTCGAAAGATAACTCTCATTCCAGGTAAACAATGACTGCCTTACATCCCAGTCTGTCTGAGAGATTAAGGAGCAGTACCCAACCCTGAGAACCCCATCCCACCAGGCAGTCAGATTGGCCAGAGAGTGGCCACTGAGAAACAAAGAGCCTCTCCCTCTTGGCACTGGGGAAGGGGTGAGAGGAATGCGTACAGGAGTGGGGTAAAGGCTCTTCCCACTTCGTCCATTCTCTCTGTGTTGTCTCTCTTGTCCACCCAGCTAGTTGAGGTGGATGGCTCAGAAGCAGGGGCCTGGATGAGAAGGGGACTCTGATGGCCCTAAGGCTGATAGGAGACACCCTTACCTGGTGCACCGTGTAAGTTGACTGGCCATGGAGCAAGGGAGGGCAGATGGACAGATTGTACTGTAATGGCTGGCCCAAGAGGGAGTAGTGACCATCACCTAGGGAGGAAGAGCAGATGGTTTTCTGGGAGTTTGAACTACATGGTATGACTTTTATGAGACTTCATGGGGCTTTGGAGATGGACAGCAACAATGCATACTATTCCTACTTCATCTATGATAGGAGTGCCCATGTCACTGATTTAAGAGTTGTCTCTCTTCCTAAACCCCTTGGCTTTCAGCTGTAGCTCAGACAAAAGGAGTTATTAGGTTCCTTCACCTTTGAAGAAGGGCTCTGTCCATTGAAGACAAAAGGCCCTGGAGGAAACCTACAGACCCTTATGACTGTCTTTTATTTCTCATATAGTTTCTTCTCACCTTAAACCCAGGGCTCAAGTTTCTGACTCACATGAGAGGCAATACAATGCAGTGGAGAAGAACACAGACTTACAGCCGGACTGCCTAGGTTCAAATCCTGGCTCTGTTACTGAAAATGGGATGTTGGGTATGTTTTCCTCTCATTAGCACTGCTGAGGTTAAATGACTGTAAGACACTTATAGCACCTATAAAGTAAAGTACTTATAAGTAAAGCACTTATAGCAATGCTTGATACATATTAAGTACCATGTGTTACCTATTATTGGTGATAAATACTATATTTCAGAGCACTCTGAAGTTTTAAACCATATTTTCATGTTATTTTTATACTGCTTTTGATAGCCACGGCAGAAAGCAGATAAGATTATTTCCATCTTATGTGTGATTAACCTCATTTTATATATTAGGAAACTGAGGTCCCATTTTAAGTTTAAGTAACATGTTCAACATCACAAAGCTAGTTAGTTGTAGAACTAGAATTTGAACCCAAGTCTTTTAACTCAAATCCAGTATTCCCTCTTCTAAAACCATAACGTTTTTGACAAATACCGTTTCTGACACCACCCCATATTCCCAACCCTCAGACTCAGTACTGATGGATTAAACTCTTGGTTGTTCATTAGAAAGTTCAGTGAACTTCTTTTCCCTGGCTCATAGTCACCAGGGACTTGGAAGTAAATACTAAAAATCTAACGGAGATCTAGAGTAAATTAACTATGGGCAGCACTAAAGAGGGGCAGGTGTCTTTGGCCTGAACAGGGCCAGAGTTGGATGACCAGCCACACCGCTTCCCTGCCTGTTGCTGCCCTCTCGATCTCCCCACTTGGGAATGGGATGCGAATGGTGAATTTGACAGCAACCAGCCCTTATCTAACCCCTTACCCTGTGCTGGACCCCCAGGACGGGGGAACTGTGTGAGGACAGGAAGGGGACTGAGTCCTGTGCAGACGTTGCTGAGGCTGGTGACAGGAGAGGGTGCTGGAGACTGAGTAGGAGATGTGACAGGGCTGCTGCTCATTTGTGTGTTGGCCTGTGGGAGAGAGAGGAGTACACATCATACATACCCCAAACATTACCCTCTGGATATTCCTGTGGCTTGGCTTAAAAGTCACCTCTCTCATGGGCTTCCCTGGTGGCGCAGTGGTTGAGAGTCCACCTGCTGATGCAGGGGACACGGGTTTGTGCCCCGGTCTGGGAAGATCCCACATGCCGCGGAGCAGCTAGGCCCGTGAGCCATGGCCGCTAAGCCTGCGCGTCCGGAGCCTGTGTTCCACAACGGGAGAGGCCACAACAGTGAGAAGCCCGCGTACCACAAAAAACAAAAAACAAAGTCACCTCTCTCAAAACAACAAAAAAAGTCACCTCTCTCAGGAAACTTCTCTTGCTGAACTCTGTCAAAGTCAGACTGCTCCTTCAAACTAGCCCTAGTCCCTAATTAGTTTGTGTTATTATTATTTTAAAATTTATTTTATTTTTGGCTGCGTTGGGTCTTCACTGCTGCGCGGGGGCTTTCTCTAGTTGCGGCGAGCGGGGGCTACTCTTCATTGCGGTGCGCAGGCTTCTCATGG